ACTATTGACTAGATGTGTGAATGGGGCCTGCTGGCACCGTGGCTTACACGTTGGGCTGCCAACTGCAAGGTCATCCCTTTGAAACCACCAGCCACTCTCAAGGTGGAGGTTTTTCTATTCCTGTAAAGTTCCAGCTTCGAAAACCTACAGGGGCAGTTCTACTCTGTCCTACAGTGTGGCTGTGAATTAGAATCAATTCTATGGCGGTGAGTTGAGTGAAATTTGTGAATAACATAAAAGTCACTTTTGTAATCCAAAACTATCAGAATTTGACATTTAGATGAAATACTTCTCAATTAGAGAAACGATGTACAAATGTGCTTTACACAATTGATGTGTGTATGGATTGGGATAACAGTTGTATGAGCCCCTAATAAAATGTTAAAAAGAAAAAAAAGAAATACTTCTCAATTAACATTATATAACATTATATAAAGCTGAGCTACATCAAGGTGCTAGTTATTGCCCTTCAGAGAAAATAAGTCATTGTGAAAAAGTTACACTGTACTCTACTATTCCGGTCACCCATCTTTGGACAGAAGCACCCTCTCTAAGGACGCAGAAACAGACATGACATGAGCTTCTCCATCCAGCAGAAGAGACAGTAGTAACAAAAGTACCAGTAATGCTTTCAGATGAAATACTTCTCAATGAACCCAAACAGCTTATAAGCTCTCTGGAAAAGGGTTGATATATGCTACACATCCATTCCTTGTTCAGTCACCCGCAATGTGTGCCTATCCTTCTGCAACCGTGATAATACACATGATCTCGCGGACGCTTGGCCCACTGTGGGCGCCTGTGCTCCAGCACGGCCCGCACTCACACCCTCAGAATGTCTCAGTGTCAGAGACTCCCTCCTTTTCCTTGGACATTTTGCCTTTATTGAGTCAGTGAGGTAGCTGATGTTATTGAAAAGAAACAAAGAGAACAATTTCTTAGTAACTCCTAGAAACCCTTATTGTACAACTTGCCTTACATTACAGAAGTATGTAGAAGTTTTTAGCAAGACTCAAATATCGCTTCTGGACCAAATACGAAATCAAGGGCAAACCAGCTTTCATGAGTGATATTGAATCCATGCCCAATATGGACGGGTGATGTGGGATCATGGCCATCAGCCCAAGGTACCAAGATTGCCATTCTGTTCCTCTCCAGCATCAGTCATGATACAATCAACCATCACAAAAAATACTTCATGAGTGCCTGCCATTTATTTGCTAGCTATCATTATTAGATGCTGGGGATACAGAGATGAGACACATTCCTACCTTACTCTGACAACTAGAAGAGAAAGTAGGAGAAATTAAAATGCAGCATAGTAGAAAGTGTTGAAATGGGAATTACCAAGCAGCCAGACCAAAAGAAAACAGAGAAATAGGCTCTGGGACACAGTACAAAAAACCATCATGTCCAAATGAAGATTAGGAAAGTAAGCGCAAAGAACAACTACTGGGAAGAACAGAGAGTAGTTGGAGTCCTAACACAAAGGATGTTCATATGATGAACTCTGGGGCAAAGAGCCTCTGGAGTGAGGCAGGGCAGGAATGCTAAGGGCCACAAGTAAAGCTGAGGCCGGAGGGACAGGAAAGAGAAAATGTGGGTGGTGGACATGGGATTAACCCTTTGGGCTTTTGTCATATGGGTAGTTAAAGAACATGGAGACAAGAGGGTGGAGGGAATTTACAAAAAAGAGAAATGGCAAACTTTCGTGTCTAAGCGGGTGTGGGAAAGAGAACACGCAGCGAGCGGAAAGACAAGAAACATGAGCGGCCACTGGAACTATTGGTAAGGTCACCCAAAGAAAGGAGACAGGAACAAGAACATGTGAGGGTGATGTTAGCACAAAGGTTCCTACACCAATTCCATCAACTCTGGATAAAAAGTCCGTTTATCTTCATTAGTCTTTGATTAAATGTTACCACTTTCTTCCCATCATGAACCCTGGCAGTTCCTGTGCCAATAGTTTCATACTGGATGACAGGCGTCTTGCACTACCATTCATGCTAATCACTACTACTACGCTCATGGCAGGATCTTACGAACGTATTCATAAAAACACATGGCTATTACCACAAATATAAATATTTTCATAATTATATTTCAATAAGACACTTCCTTTCTAATCCTAAGTATTTTTTTTTTTAAACATTTTATTAGGGGCTCATACAACTGTTATCCCAATCCATACATAATCCTAAGTATTTTATGCATTTAAGAACATTACCCTTAGAAAGTGCCTGGGCTGCACCACAGTCAAAGGGATCCTTGGCACAAAAAAGGCAAAGACTGGTTTAATGGGTGGAATGCTAAAATTTTAAGCTTCAGAGGTAAAGCAGCTCAAGTGATAATGAGAACCAGGGGTATGAGAGGAGATTGAGACTGTTGAGTATGCGAGGGGTACCCAAAAACAAAATCAAATTGTGCTGGGCAGAGCAGAGCTTCCATACTCAGCATTTCCCTCTAGGTGAGCATTGGGCAGCTCGCTCTGAGTCAGCGCACCCAGTGGCATCACCTGGGAAGGTTCTCTCTGGTCACAGTGAATTTTTGCGAAAGCAGTTTTGCTGAAACCTCGTTTTTTTTGTGATGGGTGATTTAAGAGAACAGCGTGCAGCTGTGAAATTTTGTTTCCTGCTTGGGAAAAATGCCACAGAAACTGTTGTGATGTTGAACACAGCTTACAAGGACACACTACGGGAAAAACTCAAGTGTACAAGTGGTTTTCTCATTTCAAAAAAGGTGAAATGTCGACTGATGACATGCCTCATTCTGGATGTGTCAACTTCCCAAATGGAAAAAAATGTCGAATTCACATTTGGAGTTCATTCCACCAGTTCAGACTGTTAATCAAGCTTTCTATTTAGAGTAACCGTGTGCAAAAAAAAAAAAAAAAACCAGGCCTAATTTATGGCAGAGGGAGGACTGGTTTTGCCACCAGGGTAATGCACTTGCTCACACAGCCATCTCAATGCACCAGTTTTGTCAAAAAACAGTATGCCTCTCTTGCCAGACAACAATTTGAAAGGAAAAAAAACAAACAAGGGAGGTGCTATCAGCCATCCAAACAGATGAGTTTGAAACATGTTTCCAAGAATGGAATCAGGATTTGACAAATGTATTAAGTGTAATGGAGAGTACTTTGAAGGTGATAGGTTGTTTTGTAAAAAAAATTTAAATATGCTGCTTTGAAAAATATATATTCTGGGTTTTTTAAGAGGGACTTAGAATAATGAAACATATATCCATATTTAAAAAGGACCTCAGAGAACTGTGGGACAAGTGACCCATGTGGACACAGAATTGCTCACCGTCTCAGGGTATGCAGCAGAAACAGCGAGTGGGGCAATCTGCAATATTTAAAGACTGTAGGCTGTGACCAAAAGGCAGGCAGCAACGTGCCTCAGGGAAGAATGGGTGCCACGGTGGTGGAAGGAAATTTCTGAATATGGCTCTTCTACCCAAGTCTCTGTAACTCCTAACCAAATGATTGGAGGGGACTATGCAAATAGGACTTCCCTAATAAAGTGTTAAAACAGGAATCTGACGGAAACCCCCTGAATTGTGTGTATTGTCTTTGAGTTCTGATGGCCACTGAAACAAATGATCACACCCAGCATAAATGTAGAGTGGATGGGAAGGGTGGTTGGTGAATGGAGTGTGAGGTACGCCCGATCAGGTTCGTGGCAAGTAGAGCCATAACAACCACATGTGGACATCCACATCTCAAGGTAATTGAGATCGTGGCAACAAAGAAAATTCCAAGGGGGATAAGACTTTTCTAAGAGGATAAATAGAACTGTGAAGAAAATGAAGCATGCTTTCCCTTCCTCTCCTAAATGGTCTTCCAATTATCCTTACAGTCTACTTCCCTAATACCTCCTGCAGAAAAGCACCATAAATGCCTCTAGCTCCGAGTGTTGACGCCTCTCCTCTGACAGGTCGTGAATATCACAAAGTAAAGTGAGCCTTCCCACAGCAAGGAGCTGGGACTGGAAGCCTAGTAGAAAGTAGAAAGCATGTTTCACTTTTCTCCATCCTTTGAGTCTAGAATTAAGTAGACCTGCAGCCAGCCTGGTGGTGAGCATCCACCGACATTAGCTCTGCTGTCGGTTGTTGGCCGATAAGACTAACTACTGGTCACTTTCAGTAGCTACAAAGTGTGGTAGGACCTACAAACTTTCGTTGAACAAAATAATCTCTTTAATTCCAGAAGTGTACCCTAAACCTGTAGGTTTAGTTTCCTTTCCTTTTTATTTCTATATACTTAAGAGTAGTAGGAATAAACATTTTTCTTACTCTTTCTCCTTTAGATTACAATTTCCTGAGAGTGGGACTAGTATTTCTGTGTTAATCTCCAACATGTTTCTAGTTAACAAATATAAGAAATAAAATTTACTTTTTTTAATTTTTCTTTTTTAATCTTTTTATTGGGGCTCGTACAGCTCTTATCACAATCCATACATACATACATACATTGTGTCCAACACATTTGTACATATGTTGCCACCATCATTTTCAAAACATTTTCTTTCTACTTGAGCCTCTGGTATCAGCTCATTTTTTCCCCATCTGTCCCTCATGAACCCTTGATAATTTATAAATTATTATTATTTTTTCATGTCTTATACTAACCGATATCTCCCTTCACCCACTTTTCTGTTGTCCATCCCCCAGGGAGGGGGTTATACATAGATCCTTGTGATCGGTTCCCCCTTTATCCCCCCACGTTCCCCTTCCCCTCCTGCTATCACTACTCTCCTTATTGGTCCTAAGGGGTTTATCTGTCTTGGATTCCGTGTTTCCAGCTCTTATCTGTACCAGTGCACATGCTCTGGTCTAGCCGGATTTGTCAGGTAGAATTGGGGTCATGATAGTGTGGGGGGATGGAAGCATTAAAGAACTAGAGGAACGTTGTATGTTTCCTTGGTACTATACTGAAGAAACCAAATTTAATAGTCAGGCACAAACATCTATCCCGACCAAACCTGCAGATTGCTCACCTCTTGCAGCGTTAGTAAAGTATTAAGAATAGCTGGTAGTGTGGTCTGCACAACTCCAAACTGATCTTCTGTAAATGATGCCGCCACTAAGTGAGACAGACCTCAAGGGGAAGACAAACAAACACACATTACATATGATTCACAAATAAGCAAATCTACTTGGAATACATCCATCTGATAAAAAGTAAATATCCTGTATAAAAAACTCCTAAAATTGTGTAATTAAAAAAAATGGGTAGGAAATCTAAATAAACCCCAAAACGCAGTGAATGACTCTATGAATTGATTTTGACTCCGAGAACCTACAGGGCGGACGGAGCACATTGTACCACAGGGTTCCCCCAGGGAAAAGCTGGTGGGTTCAAACCACACCTCTCAGTAAGTAGCCAAGTGCTTAACTACTGTACACAGAACGCCCTAACAACGTGAACAGGCACTGAGCAGGTGGTCCACGACATTAATAAGATGCCAAAGTCTCAGCTTTACATTCTACCAGAGAAAGCTGAAACAAAAAAAGAGTGTCGGCCAGGACACAAAGGGCAGCACAGTGAGGGAGGAGGGTGGTGGCGGCGAGGCTGTTTTCACAGGGTGGACTGGAACGGACCCTCTGGGCAAGTAGCACATAACCAAGAAGGCCGTGCCATCTACAAGGTGAAAAGAAAGAGTTATTTGAACAATAGTCAAGCTTCGTAGTTAACAAAAGATGGCATTAAAAAAAACCTACTTATTGCCTTATTTTTGAAAGAAAGATATGGAAGAATCTCAGGCTCAATTTCTCTGGGGTAATGATCTGATAAAATTAAGATGTAAATGTGTATTTGAAAATTCAGATTGAGATCAAAGCACAAAACTGATCTTTCACATTGACTACATGCTTACCTATAATTGAGATTGCTTACCTTCTAATGCCCAAATATGCATTTGAGCATCTGCAAAAACAGCCTGAATGGAGGCCTCTGGGTGCTACAAATAAAACAAATATTAAGCAAGTTCCTCCAGGAGGCAAAAACAAAACAAAACAAAACAAAAAAAACAGTATCACTGTATTTCACTTAATCAACTGTGCAGATTTTAATAATAAATTTTTTATTATTCTGCCTCCCAAGGATTAAAAGTTAAAATTCTTATACAACTGAACTGCAATCAAGCACCTGTCACCAATTATTGCATGACTTGACACATCTCTAAATCTCATCTGAAATAAGAGTACATGTGTTCAAACCCATCTCAGTAGAACAGTACAGAGACAATTTAATAAAATGACTAAATAGGCTTTTCTGTAAAGCATAAGAACCTAAATATATTTTTAATTTTTAAACCAGGTGCTACAGAGCTGATTCAGATCACAGCCCAATGTATAACCACTACATGACCAGGGCTCCTACTATCAATTGCAAAGCAAATTAACTATTTGTATCACCCAGGGACCTTACATAAATAAATATTCCTTCCTTCATCCTTTAGTCCTGTTCTAGGAAAAACCACCCTCATCTCTTTCATATATCAAAGTTGAATGGCATGGAGCAAGAATGACCCATTTAAACAACTAGTGTTCTTTTATTACACATCCAATAAAGCCGATTGACTTCTACATCACATAGCAGTGTCTACAACTTTTACTGTAGAGCACATCTACTGGCAAAATAAGAGTCAAAAATAGCCATCAGTTTCCAAGGAAATGGGACATCTTGTTCAGGGTCTCCTCATTTGTAAATGGAGAACAAGGTATCTCACAGAATTAGTATCAGAATCAAATGAAGAAACAGTGAAAAAGAGCAATGATAAAATACTCAAGATGAGTTCTCGTCCCATCTTCCTCAAACAAAACACTGGAGAGCAATTTCAGAGAGCACCTCTTCTTTACAGGGTAGCTGTCTTTCTCAAAGCTACAATGGATAACCTCCAAACCAAAACCAAATTCACTGCCACCGAATCAATGCCAACTCATAGGGACCCTGTGGGGACAGGGTAAAGCTGCCCCTGTACATGTATGAGTAACTCTAACTTAGAGTAAAAGAAAGTCCTATTTCTCTCCCAAGGAGTGGCTGGTGGTCTCAAACTGCTGACCTTGCAGTTTGCCACTCAATATGTAAGCAGTATACCAACAGGGCTCCTTATGGAGAGCCCCAGGGAGACGATTTTTTGGTGAAGGTAATCAAGAGTTGGGTGGATCTTCTCTTTCACTATAATGAAAATGTTTCAGAACCAAACATAAAAATCTTTGGTACAATGGGACAGCTCCTCACAGACGGGTCCACAGGGAAAGGAGGAGTCAACACAGTACTCCTCTGGTTCCTTGAGGCTTCCTCACGCCCCACTATCATGACCCCCAGTCCTGCCTTTCACTGTGGGCTAGACTGGAGCAGATGCACAGGTACAGCCAAGAGAGAAGAGCCCACAACACACAGAATCCAGGAACAGGAATGGGAGTAGCAATGCCAGAAAGGGTAGGGAGAAGTGGGGAGGGGACAGGAGGATGGGGCAACGATCATGATGATCGACACATAAACACACACCCGACCCCTCCAGGGGGAAGAACGACAGAAACCGTGGGGAAGGAGACAGAAGGGGAAGGGAGACAGTGGATGGTGTAAGACATGAAAATAATGTAAGACATGAAAATAATGTAATCCTTTATAATCTATCAAGGGGTCACGAGGGCGGGGGTGGGGAGGGAGGGGAAAAAGAGGAGCTGATACCAAGGGCTCAAAAGAAAGTAAATGTCTAGAAAATGATGGCAACATATATACAAATACGGTTGATGCAATTGATGTATGGATTGTTATAAAAAACTGTAAAGGCCCCCAATAAAATTATCTTTAAATTAAAAAAAACAATTTTGTGTGCCTAATGTATCTATGCAGCTGTATTTCTTTCAGGGTAGTTCAGACCTTTTCCCAGTATGACTTTTCAGTGTATGAACCCCCCAAAATTAAAATGAATAATGATGCAAATGCAAACTTCCACTTGAACACATCAGTGGTGTGCAATCAGAGCTAATAATTCATTACCAGCAGTGAGAAGGTAGATTGGAAAAACAGAATTCAAAATCTATTTCCCCTCCATATGGGCAAGGGGATTGTTCATCAAAGGATTGACTAACACACAACAGCTGTACCCAGTGAAAACAGAATGAAGCTTTAGCTTCTGCAACTGTGATATGCTCTCCTGTGGCAGCCAGAGTAGCTGACAAAGTAGAATATCATTTAGTTTGTGGCCTGAATTACAACTTTCTATCTATCACAAGCTTAGCATCTGCGCTCTAACTCAGACAACTCTCTTTGTAACACCAAATTGGCCACAAAGATGTCAGAAGAAAAATAAGCGGTGAAGCATCAGCTAGCAATAGATGTGCTGGCTTTGGGAAGATCCAGAGCCAGGTAGGTAGATGTTGCAGATCAGCAAAAAGCTGTCTGCAGCCACAGACTCAGGATGCCAACTGCCAAGTCAAGCCTCAGGAATCACCCAGGTGAGAGGTGCATCATGTGTGTCCAGGGCAACTACTGTTAACGTGGAGGTTCACTGAAGCACCATACAAAGCTGTTAGGCTCCCTAGGATTAAGCTATAAAATATTTAGACATTAGATCCTATCTGCATTTCTTGTCTCCATTACCCTATTCCCAATGCAATATAGCTGCATTTCTTACCTTACTGAAAAAATACATTATCAGCACCCGTTTTGACAGGAAGTTCTTCATCTGGGTTGGAAAACAGAAAAAAATAGCAGATTGACAGCTTTCAAATATGATATCCTCAGGCTCCTTGACACTCACTTGAATGAAAATAAGGCACCTCACATCTTGCAGGGCAAGAACAATGACATATACAATAAACCACTTCAGTAAATGAATACTTTTGTACTACGAATTAGATAACAAAGATGGGCTATTTAACCTAAATCACATGCCTATACAAGTATGGGTAACTTAATCTCTCCTACAGGGTTGCTGTGAATCAGAGCTGTCTCTGGAGCAAATGAGTTAACCACCAAATTAAAGCTGTTTGTAATAAAGGGATTTCTAAGTGGCTCTAGGGACCATTTTCTCAAACCATATTCTTCATCAATTCTTGACAGCTGTTTGACCCTTTCATTTCTTAATACAAAGGGGCTTCCAAAAGTTCGTTGAAATAACTGGAATGGCGAGATAATGAAATTTTTCCATGAACTTCTCAAGGCCCCTCATATGCTTCCCTTGTCCACCCTCCCACTTCCCCACCTCCCTCAAAATCTAGAGGCACAAAGTTGACATTTACTGGGGAAAAACATTTCTTAGCATCAAAATGAAAACTATGTATTCCAACTGACTTAAAAGTGAATGTGAAACTGAGTGTAATGATGTATATACAACTAACTTTAAAAGCAATTTAAGCATGGAAGTGTATGATGTGTGAATACCGTTTCAAGAAAACTACTGAAAAAAAGAAACCAAAACGTGACCAACAGTTACCATGGGTGAAGGAAAAAGAGTGGTTGCTTATGGGGCGCTGAGTTTATGTTAATAGAGGTGGAATAATTTGGAAAAAGATATCGATAATGGTTGTACAACACGAAGAATATAATCAATGGCGCTGAATTATACATGTAGAAGTTGTGGGATTAGAGAATGTTTTATTGTGTATATTTTTGCCACAATTAGAAAAAAAATAATTACATGAATAACAGTGAGTACAAGGAAGAAGAAAATGTTCTAGAATTGAATGGGTGATAATCGTACAACTCTTCTTGGTATGATTGAATTACTGAACTATATGAGGTGCATGAAGTACTAATAAAACTGTTTTTTAAAAAAATGAATTTGCTCCAAACAACACTTTTATTGAAAGCTACACCACTCGCAAGAAGGATGTAATAAGGCAGCACATGTCTAGATGTTGCATAAAAAGTGACGTGGTATTACCTGTGGCATATAAAGCCATATATGGGACCCTGAATTTCATAAAACATCTTTACTTTTTCCTTCTCTACCATCAGGCATTAGTGAACATGTCATCATTTATAACATCTTAAAAACATAGAGCCCCTTGGATTCCTCCACGTACCCAGCTATTACCCTACCTGCTGGACCCCCACAGAAAGCCCCTTGAAAGCCCGGCTCTGCTTGCAGTCTCCAGTTCCCCTCCCACTGCTCCTGACCCCTTCCAGCCCACTCACCCCACGATTCCACCTACCAGCTCAAGCCACCTCCCCTCAGGGTCCTTTCGTGGTACCTCTCACCTCAATGACCAGGCCTCCGTCTCTTCTGCTGTTCCTCGCACTGCCATGCCTTTGATCCCCGAGGGGCCCAGTTCTGGGAAGTTGCACTCCTCCTGAGTTTTCACCTAGGCTCAAGGCTTTAAACACTGTCTATCCACTGAGAGCTTCCAATCTCACCCAGAACCTCTGCCCACACTAGATATATGTTCAATTCTCTACTCAGTATTTGCACTTAGTGGTCTAATAGGCATCTCAAAATTGGCATGTCCAAAATCGAACTCCTGATTTCCCCACCTCAACTCTATCAAGGCCTTTCCTCCAGAAATCAGTAAGTTGTAACTTTATAAATCACAACTACACAAACTTTTAAAAAGTTCGTAGCAAAAATGAATTCAAACAAAATAGAATTTTTCTAGGAACTCTGAAGCTCCCTTCCTATCATTCCATATGCACAAGCCAAAAACTATAGATGTTCTCCTCTCTAATTGGGCCACAACCAAATCATAAACAAATCTTGTTACCTCAACCTTCAAAATACATCTAGACTCTGATCATATTTTGTAACTTCCACCACAACCACAGTGGTAACGTAAATGCCACCATCTCTAGATTGTGGCAAGAGCCACGCCACTCCTGCCCTCCAAAATCCTAGTCTCACGGAGCTGCCAGAGGATGACTCTCACATCACTCTTTTTTGGTAAAACTTTCATGCTGTTATTCTGGTGAAGGGTTACAGAGCAGAACACCAGCCTTACATTCCACAAAGCATGCAGGTTTGATCCACTGCAATGGATCCTCAATGGACCATCATTTATTCCACTTACTCCCTGCATCTCCTGTTTCCATTTCTTCTTCTTCCCTAACCCTCTGAACTTTGTCATTGGGTAGATGTCACCCTTGAAATCTTAAATGGCTGACTTTTCTACCAGAGGTAAATTCTGTTCCAGATCTAAAGGGCAGCTAAGGGGTCATATAGTCTCAGGGGTCTGGCCTGTCTCTATCTGACCAGTAACATCATGTCACTCTTGTGAGCTAATCCTTCCAGAACTGTCTGGCTTACTTGGGGGAAAAGCTAACGTCTTTACACAGCTAACAGCCTGGTGTGCTCGGTATGCTGGCTAGCCCTCTGACCTCATCACCCACCCCCCACTCTCCACTCCAGCCACACTGGTGTCCAGTTTTTCCTCACACACGCCAAGCTCACTCCCGCCTCAGGACTTGCACCGTGTGCTAATCCCACCTGCCTTCCGCGCTCAGATCAAGCCATCTCAACAATGAAGCTTCCCCTGACTGCCCCATACAAACTGGGACTCCCTCCCCTCCCCTATGTATCCCCCATCTCCCCTACCTGCTTCATGCTTTTGACATTAGACAGAGCAAATCCCTTTCCTTCTATGACCCATTACTTTTCCTATCTTAATGTCAATTATCAGATTGTATCTTATAGCTCATAGCATAGCACAGCTTAACAGGGAACTCTTTTTCTTAACAGTACAGAATAGCCTGACAATTAATGCACTTTATACTCAAATCTAGTATAATACATGTGCTTACTTGTCTACTTCCCCTCACTAGAATGTAAATACTACATGGGGGGTTTTGTTTCATTTGCTGCTATTTTCCCAATGTCTGAAAACACATCCTATAGAAACAAATGTACTTCAGAAAGTTTATGGGAATATTTATTATCTTTTAATCCCACTTTTCACAAACTTTTTGAAGCACTCATAAAAATAACTCAATACTTAAATCAAAGGCATTGTAGTAATGAAATCGCCATTTGTACAGCTCAAAACAAGTAGAATGCTGGCCATTTATATTTCAACTTGATACACAAAGTAAAAAAAAAACAAAAAGCAAAAATGCCGCCTATTGATTCCTGATGGTTTATTCATATTAATGCTCCTGATACTATATACAAATAGAAGGCCTGTAGCCATATCACCCTACCTGATCACGCCTATTCTGAATCCAGGATGAAATCACACTGGGTTGACCCATTGTCTTACCCTCAGCACGCTCAAAGGTAGATGGAGATGGATTACAAAATTCAGTCATTTGCTGATCTATTTAAAAAAAAAAAAAAGACGGTGAGAGGTTAGGCTGCCTGACCTCTACTAAGTGAGATTTCAAAGCAGAGAAAATAAATGTCCTCACCAGATGCAGAAGTCCATAATCTAGGCCCTCTTCTTACTAGCTGAGGACTTTGAGGTGACCTATAGCAGGTGCTTACATCCAACACTCCAGCCAGCCGATTAATTACACCAGAACCGAAGGGGGTCCCAAGGGGACTTACAACATCAGGGGTAGATAATTTTGACGAAAATATCGAGGATGTCACTGCTGATGGCACTGAAGGTCGAGTAATCTGGCTAGATTTCGGTGTCTGAAAAGTGATTTCCTCTGTAAGAGAACAGAGCCAGGGCATAGGTTCTCAAATGTTACACAGCTCCGCCTTTTGCTTAGTAGACAAAGGTTCCATTTAGGGATCCATTCCTAAGACCTTCTCCCACAGTAATTCAATGACCATCCATATTCAGTAAAGAGTTAATTCAAAAAATCAATGAGCTTTTAATGTCAGACAGGAACAGCTTCCCTTGTTTCCTACCCTCCATGAATATTTTCATCTTCAAGGTCAATTTCTCTAAGTACAGGCTGTTTTTCAATGAACTCATCCATTAAATTTTTCTTTTTAAGGGGGAGGGGAAAAAGGAAAATGAGAAACTGATTCCAGTAACCCAAGCGGAAAGCGAATTTTGAGAATGATGAGGGCAGCAAACAAAGTGTGCTTTACACAATTGATGTATGTATGGATTGTGATAAGAGTTGTATGAGCCCCAGTAAAATGATTAAAAAATGTTCTTTCTTTTTAAATGGCAAGGAGCCTGGTGACATGGTGGGTCACTCTGAGACCAGCACCTCAAGTCACGGTGGCTCTGAGGAAGAAAAATGAGGCTTTCTACGCGTGGACGGGGTTCTGTTCTCACAGACCCATGGAGCAGCTCTACCCCGTTCTGAAGGGTTGCTATGCGTCAACACTGACCTGATGGCAGTGCGTCTGGTTTGAGTTGTCTAGATGGTCAAATCAGTGTTGTGGCACACTCTTCCTATACTGTGACTGGGCCTATATTGTAAAAACGTACACAAAGTGCTAACTAATATTCTCATTCTACCTGAAGCTCTTCCAAGTTCACAAATCCTACTAAAGATTAACTTTCCCAGGAGACCTACACTTCTCACCGGATAAATCTGACATGCAAAGAGCATCCTTAAAAATCATCTTATAAAAGGAGGCTTCAAAGAGTTTATGGGAAAATTCCACTATCTTTTAATTCCATTATTCCACAAAATTTTTAAGTCCCCTGAAACTCTCTACCAATTTATAGTTTGTTCCACAAAAAACAAAGGAGCATTTTCCCTCCCACTCCAGCACTAGGCACAAAGACCAAAAAAAAAAAAAATAGGATTTTATCATCTGAACAAAACCACTGTACGGCATTAACAATTAGAGTACCAAGCTTTCCTAACATGACTTTTTGAAGGCTAGTGGAAATTAGAAACCTTTGGAGAATACATGTTAAAGTTAAGAATGAGAAGTTTTATATAGGCAGTGCAAATTACAAATGAGATCTGTTGCTAAGTATGCATTCAAATTGAATTTGGAGGTAAGTAAGAACATGTGCATACAGTTCTGGTTCAGTGTTACTTCAGGGCAAAGGGCTCTGAGTTGTCAGTGATTCAAAAGCTACTGGAGCATCAAGTGAAGGTGACTGTAATGATGTATTTGAGTAAGTTCTAACTTTTCACAGTGAGGGGCAAAATTACGTAATATTATTAAAGGGCAAATACAAGTTGTCCACGAAGTTAGTTGTCTGTAACCCAGGGAATTACTGTATTCCTCAAATGTGATAAATTTTGGCTGAACGATAGGATATCACAACAATTTAAAATAATAAATGCAAAATAAATAAATAAAAATAACAAATGTTCCACTCTTGGTCAAACCCATAATCCACAGAACCTAAGATGGCAATGATCTCTCTCATGTACATCTGAGGTCATCAGCCTATTCAATATTCTTCCTGGCTCCATGTCATACCCTACCGGCTAAAATCCACACTGCTCTTTTTGACACTTCACTAGAAAACACTTCCCTTGCTCAGACTCTTCCTCTCTCATACTGTGTGCTCCAGGAGCATGGAACACTAGCCATTTCAACAACAAAGTAACTTTCCTCGTCTTTTTAAATGATCACCGTGCACTTCTTGCTGAGGATGTAACCTCCACCGATCCCCTGAAAACCCCACTCCACTTTGCTTCAGGTCTTAACTCATTTGTTACTGCTCATAACATTTATCTTATTCTCCACTATCAGCAAATATTTATTGAAGACCTATGGTTTTTAAGCTTCCTGGAGGTAACAGTCCAGTAGAGATGATAAAATGAGCAAGCAGTCCCAAGGAAAGATGTTTGGGGAAAAGAAAAAACAAAACAAAAACAGATTGTTAATTGGAAAGTTCAACCCCAAAGCCACTGTGGTCTAGGTCAATCCTGCAGGGCAGAATGGACTTGCCCCACAGGGTTTCCCAGGCTTATGAAAGCAGATGGCCACACCTTTCTCCCACGAAGGTCAAACCACAACTTTCTGTTGGTAGCCAAGCACTTTAATCACTGTGCCACCAGGACTCAAAAACCAGGCAGATGGATCACTGGCTCTATACTTCTATTGCACCTTATTATAGAGTTCCTTTCGTACTTATATTGTCGTGCACTTGTGTGAGTAAAAAGTTAAGTTCCAGGAGTAAGTTTGTCCATCCTTGATTTGCTGGCTTCTAGCATACTGTTTGGGACACAGGAGGCATTCGATAAGTATTTGTTGAATAAATGAATACTGAAGAGTTGGCAATGTCTGAAATACCCTAGGATCTTTTAAAATCTGACATTCATAAAGTTATTTCAATATTTTCACCTGTAATATATGTCTTTTGTCCATGACCACTGGAATAATGCCTTCAAATACAAAGAGCTAATTGCTTTGATCCAGAGTGATTTTTAAACATCAGAATTAGTTGCCAATATATAAAAGGTAGAGGATTTCACCTCGATATTTTTAGAATTTGTAAAAAGATACAAAAACCTGGAAGCTCATGTCAACCAAACCCCAACCCACGGCCATCATAGCAATTCCAAATGTGGGCGACCTGACAGCAAGCCAACCCACCGCCATCAAGTCACGTCTGACCCACAGTGACCTACGGAGGGCTTCTCAGACTGTCCGTCTTCATGGGAGATCTTTCACAAAATCTTTAGGGTTGTCAGTTCAAAGCCTAACCCATAGTGCCACCAAGGATAGGCTCGAATAAAACTAACCCATAGTAGTTCCAAGGCTGTAATCATGGAAGCAGACTGCCACATCCCTTTCTCCTGCAAAATGCCTGGTGAATTTGAACCACCAACCTCTTGATTAGCAGTAGCGCACTTTAACCACTGCCTGATTAAATGGCTGAAGCTAACCCACACTCTCCCCCTGCAGTGAAGCCTGTACTTTGCAGTTTACTGGTCCTGTCCCCACTCAGCTAGCTTCACTATGTCTCATTAAACACCTGACTGGACATTTAAGTCCTTTCCAGTCTTACGATGAAAGGAATCTTCTACTTCAGGCATGTGGGAAACTAGCACAGGTTCCTCCACTTGTATTTCTCCCTCAGTCTTCATAATTCAAACTGAAGAGGTACTAACATTGTATCAGGCTATCTTTCTTTTTTTTTTTTTCAATTACTCTGTAGTTTTTTGTGGTTTTTTTTATGATTTTTCACTTTATTTTATTTTTCTTTTTTTCTTTTTTAGTGTATCAGGCTATCTTGAAACAATTAAGTGTAATGCCCTACGCTTGACAGTACACTATCCAGAGACTTCTCGTCTCCAGCGTCTTGCAATCAGAACGACACCCAGAATGATTTGTAGACTCATGTAGCTTTGTACCAGAGTACGGTGCATTCTTCTAGTTGATGAACAGATTGTGTCAGTCTTTCTAACACCATCACAACAAAGAGCCTAGTATTTTCTATGCACAATGATACACAGGTCTTTTTCTCAGTTTAGTGTAATATCCCATAAATTGTAACAATATTCTCTAAGAATACAAGGGTGCTTGAAAAGTTTGAGGAAAAATTCCATGATCTTTTCATTCTATTTTTCCACAACATTTTAAAGTCTTTTCATATGTACCTGAGACTCATGTTTTCTCCACACAGAACCAGGGCGTCCTTACCGGGAGCGTTTGATGTCCTAGGGCCCCCTGGGCAGAAGGATATGAGCACTCTTCCATTCGTAGCAGCAGTTTCTTGGTAGAGAACCAGTTTCTGAGTCATATCACTTAGAAGATTCAAGCATTCCCTTGAGATGGCTGTCCAGTTGTGGGGGTGTCCACCTACAAGGTCCAAACACCAACCTTTAAAATGCAGACAATCTTATACTCTCCTCTCAAAGTGGACAGAAAGATCCACAAAAATGGTCACAGTACATGTTGCATCAAAGACCACTTTTCTTAGTTACTATTTACATTCATGCTATCTCATACACAGATCAATAAATATTTGTGAAATGAATGCGTTTTCCAAAAATCTTCAAGTGAAAACTTGCTATTTAGCCATAAAAGAAATACTAGCAAATTGGTCACTAAAATACAAACGTGACTGGAGCTCAAATGGAGAGAAAAAGAACCAGGCTGGCTTCACCGAGAGGAGTGAAGAGGCTGCAGACGAAGAGCACAAGCATCAGCACGTCGACATGCTACCTCTAACGCTTAAGTCTGACCACTGTACCCCAGGTTTTCATGTGTGCAACCGCCTCTACTTGCTACCTCTCCACCAGCGCTTCAGCACGCCACAACCATCATCCATACACTTCGACATCTGCTATTTCACTTGAAACTAGTGGCCCACACGCTGCTTAACATTCTTTTAGTTCTCGTTATCTTTTGAGTTTCTAAGACCTTTGTCTCTCAGAGCTGCCATGTAAAACTCAGCCAGGCTTCATTATCCATTGAAAATAGCTGAGTCCCCTGAAAACTGGTCTGCCCATCCTGGCGCCACTCATTCTCTCTCCACATAGACGCCCCTTCTTAAATAGGTCCTCTATTGTAACTCAAGATGAGTACCACAGAACAATGTACACACCTGCAACAATGTACACACCTGCATCAGTAACTACAACTCAGGACCACTAATTAAACTGTCATAATCTGTGCTTGGAATGCAAGTTCTCAGGCAGTCAGCATGTCACCCTGTAAGTTTACCTGAATCTATGGTGAAAATATTCAATATAGACAAACCCTAAGTATACCTATGTCTAACAGAAAGTACTGGACAATTTAGTTTCCACAATACAAACCTGCATATTTTATGCTACTAAATGAAAAATGGCTCTAATCATTTAATTTTTTATATAACTTTTTCACTTCCATTTAACAGAGACTCAGTGTATAAATTAAAAATTGGCAAGTTTGGAAAAATAATGAATAGCTAATTAGGGAAGATGAAAAGTTACACAAGCTAGCTCTATCTTTGCTCCCAATGGGTGGCTGGGACTGCACTGTCTTCCTGCAAGGAACAATGCGGACACTGGCAGAGCTGCAGTCGGGAGGAGGGCGGCAAGAAGAGTGGAGCAGTGTTCCCCAGGGCACCCTTGAGTCAGTGTCAATGCTGTTCCTCCTTTTTGAAGAGGGGAGTCAATGTCGCATAGCAGGGGAAGAGTCACCTAATCTCCCAAAGACTTAAATCCTCCATCCAGGATTAGACCACCTATTTTTTAGACTTTTTCTGGCATCAAAACGTTCAAGGGTCTTCACAGTGATTTTCTTCTTGAAGACCATCGATCTATACTCCCTAATTTCTCTAGGTAAAGGGGATAAGGGAGCTGAATGAAAACCTTAACAGGCAAAAAGCCTTACACTTTTCCTGGTGACATAAATTAAACCTAGAGCGATAAAAAGATTCAGTTTTTCTTTTTTAAAGACTTAAACAAATGCTTCATTTGATGGACTCCACTTGTCAAAGACTTTAGGTGGAGCACCTTCTGCCCAAACATGACTACTCAAGTCTGTTAGTATTAGCAATACCTGGTTGGCTGAGACTAAACACTTCTTTTCTTCGTGAAGGAGAATACTGAGAGAGCAACATCAGGTCCTGCAAGGCCAAATACTAAAAAGAAAACAATATATATGCATTGTTAATTTTATTAGCCCCAATTTAAAATCTTATTTATACATCGAGTCTAACATTTACATCCCATTTTATGAAGGGTATTTTAGAACCATAAATCCTTCCTTTCTTGATATCTACAACTTAACTCACCTCTACCTTTCTTACCCACTTCAGGCTTAAACTACAAGGAACTAAAATAATCTATGTACTTTCCTACCTCTGTGGCAGGAAACACATCATTTCCGACAGCATCCTGGCCTCTCTCTACAAATTACACCCCCCCTTAACTGAGACACTTAACACACTGAGCTGAACTTGCTCATTTACCCGTCTTGTCTAGATCCAACTACCAAACTGTGAGGCCCACAGAGCAGGAATAACATCATATTTACTACCATATTCACAGACAGTGCCTGGTAATAACATAGGCATACAACACCTATTGAAAGTTTTTACTTAAAACACTGAAAACTGTGTTTTCTTTGCAAACCTTTTTGTCTATCCTGCAAGATAGCATTCCCTCTGGGAAGTTTTCCTCTGTTGTTCCCAAGCAGAAAAAAAGTGGTTCCCTTAGCACCTGCTATAATAACTTTTCATTGTTTTAGATCTTCCTTTTTTATCAGACAGTGATATCATAGTCCTCATTATACCCTAAGCGAGTAGAAGTTAGAGACCCAAACGCAAACCAAACCCGCTACCATCAAGTCCATGCTGACTCAAGAGACCCTCTGGGACAGAGTAGAACTGCCCCAGTTTCTCCACGGCTATCCATCTCTATGGAGACAGATGGTCTCATCTTTCTCCCACAGAACACCTGGCAGTTTGAACCATTGACCTTTCCATCAGCACAGTGGGCCACTAGGGCTCCGAAGCTACTGGCACCTGCTCATGGCTACGCACTTATTCAACAATCAAGCCATTTCCGTGACCTACTCGTGGGGTCTGGGAACCGCCCAGGGGCTCCAGATGCTCCCGTCCTCCTCTGCTCGCCCAGTTCTTTGCCGGCCTCAATACAATCTTTCTCAACTTCAAAAATAAGTAAGTAATCAATCAAACCGTATTGATGTTCTAGACTTCATCAAATAAATTGGTCATAATTCAGATTTAACAGTAATTAATGATTTGTTTTCCTTTTAGTTCACAATGTCTCTACAGTATGATAAAAGTAGTCTTTCTATTTTCGGTATATTTTCAAAGATGGTGGTTGTTGTAGGGTGCCCCTGAGTGGGCTTTGACCCACAGTGACCGTAGGCACTACGGAACAGAACACTGCATGGTCCTGCGCCACCCTCACAATTGGCCCTGTGCCTGAGCCCACGGCTGCAGCCAGTGTCCGTCCATCTCTCGTCCAGGGCCTTCCTCTTTCTCACCACCCGTCCACTTTACGAAACAGGATGTCCTTCTCCAGGGACTGGTCTCTCCTGACAATATGTGCAAAGTCTGTAAGACGAAGTGGTTCTCAATCTTCCTCATGCCGCGAGCCTTATATACAGTTCCTCATGTTGTGGTGACCCCAACCATAGCATTATTTTCATTGCTACTTCTGAACTCTAATTTTGCTAGCTATGGATCATAATTTAACTATCTGATATGCAGAATATATTTTCATTGTTACAAATTGAACATGATTAAAGTATAGTGATTAATCACAAAAACAATATATAATTATATATTGTGAAATATTTATTTCTAATTACAAGTAAATGAGATTTTGTCTTGAAGCATGGTAGAGCATGGGGAACAGTCTTCACGCCAGGTTCTCGTATGTGGGCGTATCTGCATGTGGGCGGACCCGCCTGGAGACGGATAGAGGAGCGTTGCCTCGGTTCCTAAGACCATCGGAAATATGTGTTTTCCACTGGTCTTAGGCGACCCTTGTCAAAGGGTTGTTCGATGCCCCCCCCAAAGGGGTCACGACCCACAGGCTGAGAACCGCTGCTCTAAGAAGTACTCTGGCCTTACTACTAATATAGATCTGTTTGCCCTTTCAGCAGTCCATGGTACTTTTAATATTCTTCTCTGGCATCACAACTCAAACACATTTATTCTTCTAGTCTTCCTTATTCAAAGGATACTAATATTTTTTAACAGAACCACTTCAAATTTTCAAAGTACAATTTTGAAATCAAAACTATTCCAATAAATTTTATTCAAAACAATTCTGAATCGAAACAATTTATTCTCGTTTAGTTTGATTTATAAAGTTATTGCAACTTCTTTACTCTTTTTGGGGGGGGTGTCTTTTTGAGGATCAAAAATTATTTCTTAAAGTGAATCCACACTCTACCAAACACACACACACACACACAAAGAAAGAAAGAAAGAGAAAGGACCCCCAGTGGCATAGTGGGTTATACAATGGGCTGCTACCTGCAAGGCCAGCAGTTCAAAACCACCAATGGCTCCATGGGAGCAAACTGAGGCGATCTACCCCTGTAGCGTTAGAGTCTCAGAAACCCACAGAGGCAGTTCCTTCTACCTGTCACACAGGGTGGTTACGAACTGAAATACACTAAGTGCCAGTGGGTTTGCTTTCGTTGTGTTTTGTTTTTTTCACCCAGCACTACCTTTGGTCACAAAACCAAACAATACTATAAGAGTATAAAAACACAGGTGATCCACAGATAAACAGTAGAAAACACTGTTGATTTGTTTATCAGTCCGTTTATGAAAAGCAAATGCCTATAGTTAGACATTGTTCATGCCTGGAAGTATTTTATATGTATTCTAAATATCAACCATGTTAGCTAGTTTGTATACATAACACTGCAATACAGACTTCATTTTACTCAGTTGGAATGAAAATTTAAAAAGTAGAAAGCACTCAATTTAGCATATAGGTGTTTTTTTCCAATATTTATATTACAATATGGTAGGCCCTCAAAAAGCTATCTTAAGTATTAAATCCAAGTATTAAATCCATGTAAAGCAAGTTACAGATGTCTGTGTAAAGAGAAGACGCACAGTTGTGGTACCTTTATGATAAGGGGAGGATTGCTGTTTAACACTTTAGGGAGGCATTCATCTGATTCTTCTGCAAATGGTGGTTGAACGGGGAACAGATGAGCCTATCAAATGTAATCAAATACAAAGACTATGAAAATGGCTTTATTACATTAAGTACTAATTGAAATTTATGATGAAAGGAGATTAAAACAACCAAATTAACATCATTATCACGATCCTTGCAAAAACAGGTTGTACTGTTAATAAATGCAAACACACCACTTCTAAAATGTTACCGTGCTCCCACTCTAGTAGAACTCTGGCTTCCAACAACTGAAGTAAATGTCAGAAACAAGCATTATCTGAAGTCGCTGAAGGAGACACATTCAAAGGTGACCAAAACACTCATTTTCTAAAGTTAACAGTTTTATCACAATCCATACATACATCCCTTGTGTCAAGCACATTTGTTACATCATTATTCTCAAAAGATTTTTTTTCTACTTGAGCCCTTGATATCAGTTCATTTTCCCCCTCCCTTCCCGACCCTCCCTCCTCATGAACGCTTGATAATTTATAAATTATTATGTTTTCATGTCTTACGCTGTCCGGTATCTCCCTTCACCCACTTTTCTGTTGTCTGTCCCCCAGGAAGGGAGTTCTATGTAGATCATTGTGATAGGTTCCCCCTTTCTCCCCCACCTTCCCCTTCCCCTCCTGGTATCTCTACTCTCAT